CGCTATAAAATAAGCGTATGTATTTTAATATATATAATATATATAATATATATTATATATGTAATATATATATAATATAATATTATATTCTATAAGCAATATGTGGGGAATCAGAATATGGAGCGTACAGAAATACCCCGCCGGAGAGGTATTTAGTAACTAAAACCCTCAGGGGCTCAAACTTTGTGTTTTTGCTGCAGCAAAAACATTTAAAGTAAATAACATTTCTTGGTGCGCTGCTCAGTTCAGCAGCAGCAGCAGCAGCAGCTGCTGCTGCTGCGGCGTGACGTCTAGCAATACTCGAGGTCACTCATACTAATAAGTGTTATTATCACGTTGAATTGTTTATAAATAAACGCAAAATTATTATTATATAGCGATATTCCCTACTGTAATATATAGATATTAAGGAGAAGAGAAAGAGAGAGAATGCCATAGTCGGCGGCGGCTGTCGTTGCTCTGCATGCGCTGTGCAGGAGTTTGGGGCTTTGTGGGAATACCTGCGTGGGAAAATTAACATTTTGCATTGGGGTGTAACTGCACGTGTATTTGTAGAGAGGTTTGTATCCTTTGCAAGCCGTGATCAAAGAGAAGCAGAAGACGGCGTTGATACGGGGGGGCGGTGGAAGCCCTCCTTGTCGTGTTCTTTGTTTTTTTACCTTTATAAGGAGAATAAAGAAGTTTGAATCAACAGAATATCTCTTATAAGCCTAAAATGGGGTTTCATATTCAGAACTATATAGCTATGGCGGGGAGAGCCATAAACCCGAAAACATGGAAACGTCAGTGGCATCAACTCGAAGGAAAACAGTTTTCAGATGTTGCAAATCAAATGATGCAATGGACAAACAAACAATTTGCACAAATTGGAAGAGTGTAAGTTCTGAAATCTTCGGAAAGCTGAATGCATCCATCTGTTCAACTTTGCACAAAATTTCAGCTGTATGTACACCTCAAGTGTTCATACTATGACCAAGTTTCGCTCACTTCTTTTATTCTGTATTTTTTATCTGAATATCCGATTCAACTTCATCGCTTTCTTTCGAATAATTTTTTTATTTATTTCGGCTTTCGTGTTTTCTTGTTTTGCAATATAAATAGCTTTCTGTTTTCACGTATTTTGTTGAGTTTCATGTTTCTCGTTTCACATCTGAACTATGCAGAATCTGAATACAGCCGGCACGGCTTCCCCGCATGAACGCCGATATATTTCAAGTTGAATTGAATGGATTTGAAGACTTGACGGAGTAAACTCGAGGTATATTTATAAAGTCGATGAATATTTATAGAAATGTTTGTTTTTTTTTTGTTTTTTTTGTGCGTTGCAGCTCGGAATACCGCCGCTGGTGGTGGGCTAACCCCCTCGGTATGGGACTCGTCTTCTATGGAGGCTACAAGGTCTGGCATATGACCTATATGGTTCGCAAGCAGAAAAAGAGTAAGTCTTCATCATATATATATATATATATATATATATATATATATATATATATATATATATATATATATATATATATAATTTCAACGGCTTGTATTCCGTGTATGTTGTTTTCTGTTGTGTTGCATTTGTTTTTTCAGCTGCTCAGATCGTCGCTGCTGCCTACGGCCAAGGAGGCCAGTGGCTCAACCCGGTGCCGAAGTAGTTGCAGCCACCGACAGTACCTCTTCTCCAGGTGGACACACAGCAGCTCGTCTTGCTTATTGTTCAGCACAGCCTCCTCTTCCTACGCTAAGCAGCAGAGCACCGTGCTGGTGCTTATACTAGCTGGTGCTTATACTGTGGATCGCCCGC